TCAGCAGGACAGAGAGCGAGGCAGTTGTGAATCCTGTGCTGCTTCATATGCGTGTATATAAAAATGGTAGTGAAGGATGCATAGTTGCACGTTGACCTGTGCAGCGCCAGGGCTGCGATGCTCCTTCAGGGCCGGGATTTGAGGGCGCTGCTGTGATAGTGTCTCTACACCCGCGGGGTTTCATAGAGCTGTCAGACGTAGAGCCCTGCCCCATCGCTGCGGGGAGGACAGATCTGCCACCCGTGCTTGGCGGCAGTGCCGGACACGCACATTTCTGTGCCGGACACGCACATCGACGGCCCCTCTCCCTGCTGAGCTCCCCAGGGACGCGGCGCGCAGCGAGTCTTGTGGTGGCCCGTGGGTGAGGTTGCTCGTGGCGCGGGGCGCATCCTGCGCAGCCTCAGCCCATGGTGCACGCCTGCAGGTTCGCCCTGGCCGCGGATGCAGTCGGGTCAATGCCCCAGGAGGCAGCTGCTCCTGCCAGCGACCTGCTAGTCACTAGGTGTTGCTTTGGCCAAAACTTGCTTGTAACTCTCTGCCTCTGTATAACTGTGGATATCCTGGAAAGTAATCTTGGATTGAATGAGTCTCATTTACAAGCCCTTTCTCTTCCAGTCTCTTACTCATGAACATGGCATCAGCTGGGTAAATCAATAAGCTCTTTCATCAGACTGCCCCTGCTCCAGCAAAGAGCAGCAGTCTGCACCACTATCGATTTCTGTGGGGATAAAAACTGTGGTGCTTTCTCCATCCCTTGTAATTACAGTATTTTACACCCAAAGCTGTAGTTTTTGCTTACTGCTAGCTGTGGTATTTCTAGTGCAACTCTGCTGTCACATTTATTCAGACTAATGATCTTGCTAGTACACACACACACTCCCTTATTCAGTAGTTAGTATTTTTCCCTTAACATGAAAGGAGGAACAGTCATTAAACTAGAGAGCCTGCAGAGAGACAGAAGGCTGAATTGGAAAAGAAAAGCAGCTGTAGTGAAAATTTAGGGCAGTCATTACTATTTTAAGTTTCCAAATACACGGCATTGCCTAGCAGGCCCCATTACAACCACTTGGTAATTGGTGTAATAGCATTAATACAATCGCGGGAACAAAACGCGCTGCAGGTACAAGCAGAACTGGCGAGTTCCCACCCACCCTAGCTGCATTATTGCTTCCCTCGCTGCATTATTTCCCACTCGAAGGAGGAGAGCTGTGCTAAGTGCTTCAGTGTGACGAGCGACACGCTTGGAGCCGGCCCCGCATCCCACAGGGACTGCTCGGAGCAGGAACCCTGCAATTAGCCCTCTGCTCGCCCTCCCTAATGCCTTCTGTGGGTGCTCAGCGCAGAGCCTCCCAAAAGCTCTGAAATCGTGTCTCTGAAAGGCAGTATTAGACGCGTAACATTTCCTCCTGTAATGATAGCAACCTAAGCATGAGCAAAAAGCCACAATTTGTCATGCTCCTGCACTACTTGGTGCCCTTTTCCGGACTGGTGCTTGTTTATACACAGAACCTGGAGCAGAAAGCAAGGTTAACCTGGTACTAATATCTCTTTCTTCCTGCAGCATATATATTCTGCACATGCCCTGCTTGTTTAATGCAATGTGCCAGGGTCTTCTGATGGAATAAGCATTTGTTTCCCTTTTTGGCTTGTTTTGAAAGCAGGCATTGAGTGAAGAATTATAGAGCAGAGTAGTTTGTTGAGGACCTCTGGTCCTGCTGAGCAGATTAGTGTGTGAAGAGCCGGGCAGTGTTTCAGAGGCTCCAGGAGGTACGCCAAGCCCCCTCGAGGGAGAGTGCAGCAGAAGCCAGTGTGTGCACAGCAAGGGAACGCAACCTTTCATTAGGAGCACGTGGATCAAGAGAGAGCTCCTGAGGTGCTCAGCCTCTCGGCGTAGTGATGCATCCCGCGGGCTGGTTCGCCGAGCCCTCGCAGCGGAGGGTCCTGCTCACCTGAAGAGTTCACCCCATCTGCTCCTTAGGAGGTTGCCTCTAATGTTGTTGTTTGGATATGGACAGGGAAAAATGTGCGATTCTATTTTTAACCCACTGCTGTGTAACGTTGTGGCAGCCAGGGGAATTTTTGTATGCACATCTCAGAGTTCTAAGTCTTAGTTATTTATATTATAGCAGCATGAGAAAACCCCAGCTGGGAAGTGTCCGCGGTCTGATGGGCACTCCGGAAATGCCAAGCGAGAGTCTGTGCCCACAAGAGCTCCTGCTCTAAATAGATTAAAGCTTTGAGAGCAAACAGCAGTGCCCAGCCTCAAGGTGAAGCCAGGGCACGCGAATCCGTGTCGCTCACCCCAGTCACTTCAGAAAGGGCCTCCTCCCCATTCGTTTTAATGAGATGTCAGTCTTCTAAAATCTGTAGGCTCTTTGGAAACAAACGCAGCTATTTCAAAAACTTTACAGCCATGCAGGGAGGGGGGAAAAAAATCATCTGTCTATAACTTTCATCCTTCTTAGTTCCCCCGTGTTTTTCTGTTGCTCTTCTCATATTCACTCTGCACATTAAAAAAAAAAAGTTTCACAGAGAGATGAAAGAAAAATGCAAACTTATAATAAGATCTAACTGATACACTGGGAAAAGCAGCAGTACAATGGCAAAAATCCGTGCTTAGATGGGCTTTCCCATGGGGCACTGGCAGAGAGAGGTTGCAGGAGCAGCTCAGGGCTTCTCAGCAAGCCAGGGGCAGCATCAGGAGCAAACATGAAATACTCTTCTGAGTCTGTGCCTGTATGGAGGACGACCAAGAGCTTTAGCACGATACTTAAATGAAGCTCCCGGTAAAGCTGGAAGTTCAGGTATGTGGGGGAATGAGCAGCCAGCTGAAAAACAGCTCTGAAGTCACCAAGATTTTTGAGGCCATAAAGCCAGAGAATACAGGTTTCCTTGCCTGGGTGTTTATAGCCCTGCCAAACATTTTGGTACATGTTGCTGAACACCATTTGGAAACCTCATGCTTCCCGTGAGAGCCTTTTCCAGCGGGCCGAGCAGCTTCGATGCCCTCCTCTTGTTCTCGTTTTGGCTGTTCCTCCCTTCCCCAGCTGCCTGCCCTGCAGCCCCTCTTCCATGCTGACACGTGTCCCTGTTTCAGCCTTCCCCACGGCCTCCTTTGCTTCTGGTCAGCCACAAGGCAAAGCAAGCCCCAGGAAGTCATTGCAAACTGGACTTTGCAAACAGAAAATTGCCATGCTAGACGTGTTTGTTTTGTTGTCAGACACCCATAACAAACCGAATGTTAAGGTGCTGTGCTTCCAAGATATTACAGAGCAGCATAAGATTGAGCCAAAAGGTCAAAATCCTTAACTGTAAAAGCTTGCATAATGTCACAATTGCCTGTTCTAATCCACATCAAATTTTAGTAACAAGCTATCCTACTCTTCCATCTCTTCCGCTGCCTATATAGATGATATGCATGTTTAAACTAAAGCAAGACCTTTTCAACAATGTTAGTAAAATGTCAGGAATCTAATTTAAAATGAAAACATAGTTGCAATCGTAATGATAGAATATCATAAACTCCTGTTCAGGGACAGCATGGGAGAGACTCCGCGTTTAACCTAGCTGCTCAGTGAAGAGCTCAGATGATACCTGTGTAAATAATCACTCTCAAAGCCTCAAGCTCCCTGTTTATTAGCCCACCCTGAACAAGCCAATAATTAGTCCTCAGAAGGAAAATAAATTACTGTGCATTATCTCTGGGCTGCCTGATACCATATCTGACCTTGAGCATCATTAGTGCAAGCACGAAGGTCTTTCTTTAGAACAGCAAGTGTAGGAAGGGGCCAGGCACGTTCACTCTGAGGCTTTCTGGCAGCTC